CAATCCACAAACCTGCAGCGACCGTCATAATTATTAGCTCGTGGACAGCCCCACCTCCCCCTCACATATGGCATACCCCCCTGCTGCAGAGCCCGTGTGTCATTAGGGTTATGGAACTTCCTCTCTCCCAAACATGCCGTAGCCTGTGATATTTCTTACCCACCAGTTGCATCCGTAATACCTGTGTTACGACTACTTGCAGTGCATGCTTCCATGCCTGGGAATACTGAGACTGGCTTTTTGGACAGGTAGAGGGGTAACGTCAGGACTTTTTTTCCCTTCTGTTTTCTTCCTCTCTCTCTGTATGTTCTGTTATTGTGAGTACCGCTGTCATACCAAGAATCGGCGGGAATGTTTCTTATGGATGGTTTTGCGTGATGCTGTGGGTTAACACGAGCGGGCTGATTGCTCTGGCTGGCTCGTGAGGGGTTCCAGGAGAGACTTTTTTCCTGCAGTCGTTGCAACGATGTGAAGGCAGCAACTCATAGCAGTGGATTCGAGCCATGACTAAGCAAGCAAGGTGATATTCCTTTTGCGAGATGTTGCGGTACGGTTACCGGACTGTACCTGCATTCCCATTGCCCCCCTGGGGCTTTCTACCGGGCCAGGAATAATAGTACAGTGCGCGCACATTTTAGCAAGCATGATAGTAACAGAAGGGTCGAATATCGCAATAACTTCCCAGGCAGAACTGGCCGGAGGGGATCGTAATATTCCTCCATTTACTGTCTAGTATTGCAGTGAGATCTCTGGGTGAGAGACCCCATGAGCCTCCCTCCCCATACTTGCTTATGCCAAGCATGCCAGTAAAATATCACTGGCATACCGGAGAATGAGACCGGCGGTATGTTGCTGGTAGGGTGGTTGTGTGGCGCTCGCCCTATTTTTGGATAAAGTTACTCGCTCGTACCGGGTAGTCTATCATACTGTGTCAGACGAGGACTTTACTCGTATCCCGAACAACGGCGGAGAGGATCTGAGCATAGTAGGTAGTGGGTGAGTGGTGGTTTGTTTGTTTCAAGTTCCACGAGATGCAGGTACCGGTGTTATTACTCGACTGATCAAAGAATGATGCTCCAAAGTGCCTCGAAGTGGTATTTTGAGGCCGTAAAGAGACTCCTGGAGTTAGTTTTTGAGCTCCCTACCAGAGGTTCCGTATGCACTCTGAAGTCGTATAATTTCTTTTATGAGGCTGACAAGAGATAACCGTCCACCAAGTTGTGGCTCCTCAGGAAACCCACAAAGGGACAGCCTTTTTTGGACAGAGCGACAATGAATTTTCCACCAAGCTAGATATGATATTTGGTAGGGAGGGTCCGAGTTTTGCTGGTAGTCGTATTGTAATACCGTACTCGAGTACAGTACAAGTACTGGCATCCAGTCCATGATCCTCTCAATCCCCGGGTAAGAGAAACCCTGTTCCTGGCACCTTCCTTAAATGGAATAGTATAGAGAACAGCCGGGTAGCTGGATTTGAGGTGCATATAGGGGGGTTCTGTCACTGGTAGGGTGTTTGCTTCTCATCCTCCCCACCAATACACCTCACTTGAACGAACGCTCATCAGGATGTTGACTTATCGGATTGCCCGTTCACTGCTTGCTCATAAACCTCCTGTGTTTCGTTTGAGGCCTGCTCAGCTACACGCTTTTGGTCCCGTTCACCCTACTCGTCATACCTTTCAACCTATGCGCTTCCAGGTCTGCTAATCAATTGTGTTTGGCAAGTAATACACATAAGTACTTAAGATGTGGCTGGACAGGAGTACTCAACCGACGAGAACAGATCTGAGAACGAACCCGGGATGCAAAATTTGGCTAACCGGGTTACAAAGTTGGAGACGGTAATGTTGATGATAAAAAACTGATTCCTCAAGTTTGCAATGTTCTAACTCTCTCCCAGTCTTTTGAGTCTTTTGATACTTCAATAGACGATAGACTCAATAAGTTGGCAAACAGATTGCAGGAGGGTTGGGACAAGAGTTTGGAAAAGAGTTTGCAACCAATCAATGATGCAATCCGAGATACCCGTGCATGGATGAGATGGTTTTTAGGAATAGTTCTGACAGGGGTATGCTATCCGTAACGTTTTTGCTACATGACCTGAGGCTAAACAGATCGATAAGGTTGCATTGGAGTTCATTTTCTACGATCGCCACGTTGAGGAAAAGTTTACGAAAAGACTGGATGAAATGGAGGCAAGGCTTGCCACGACGATCCAAGACGCTATCCCTTGGGTGGTCAGAAACAGTAAAATTCGTAGCCAGGTGGATGAGTGACTTGTCCACAGTTTTAATTGAGCTCTCATTGGTAGAAGTAAGAACCCTGCAGGTGGCCGAGTGACTTGACCACAATGGCGAAGTCATTCATCCACCTGGCT